ACCTAGCATGGCCATCTAGATCCGTTTATTTGTGATACGTGTCATAATGAAGGAAATTATTCCTTCATTATCGCCATGCTGAGCAAAGGAGTTTGCGGTCGTATTAGCACAACTCTTCGCACCAGTACATTAAAACTGCCTATAAAAGCTCTGGGGAATACAGTCGTGCCTTTTGAGTTGGGTTATGCCTTTAGGTGGTTTGGGAAAAAGATGGAAATTGACATTATGTACGAGAAGAGAAATATTATTAGAAATGACTACTAGCAAGGGCAGTCCAGAGTCACATACCTGTAGTGAAGTCAGACGGATAACTGATAAATCTACCCTCTGAACAATCTCAATCAATATGACAATTAGAAGGTCGATAAAGGTTTATAATTTTTGTCATATTAAGAGTAAACAAAAACCTATTGTAGCCATGCAGTCTATGGTAATAGCAAAAAGTTAGGAATAGTTATAAGTACGCCTTAAATACGGGTGTAGATAATAAACGAAAATAAATACGATTTTGTTCTGGTAGTATTTAATATACTTTTACCGATAATCACACATTTATATTACACGCTTATAGTATTTTTTTTTTAATAATATTTCGTAAATTAATTATGAATAAACAAATATTTTATGCTCGTTGGCACGTGACCGCAAACAACTTGAGACGTCACGCCCTTCTCTCATATCAGAACTTGGAGAATAGCACCATATGCATACATAGAATGATATAAGTTTCAGTGACATCATAGCGTCGCCATGACGGAAGTGGCGTTCTGCGGGAAATTTTGAATATTACATTGATTTTTAGATTTTAACTAATTATATTAATGATATTTTTTAGATAAATTTCATATTATATCTATAAATAAAAAATATAAAAAGTTGTCTACATCCCTATTTTATGTGGACATAACTCGTTAAGTTTCTCGAATTTTGATATCATCATACCTAAGCATTAAAGTTTCTAGTTGGTTTTTGTTGGTTAATGCTTAAAAATTATGTTTTATTATTTCTTTAGCCATGCTTCTGAGAGGATTTGAAATAATGTAGTTTTGGTTTTTATTTAAGATAATGGTTATTAGCAAGTTGATATCAGTCATTAAAATGAGAAAAACAATTGTGTATTGTAGTTAAGAAGGCCTGTGGCGATTCAATATTATGCCATTTGATTTGTCTAATGCAACATCCACTTTTGAGAAAGTAATGGAACAAATACTGCCTACATTCATGCAAGATGTCTGCCCTATAGTAATACCTGGATTATACCATTATCGTATGGAGATATTTCAAAAATCATTTTGAAAAATAAAATCAGTGTGCGATGGGATGGTTTTATTTGATAACCAATAAGTTCATATGTATCATGTGACATCAGAAGGTGATGTTATCATCGTAAGCTACTTACCATATTTTGTAAACTCTCCTATCTATACCGTAAATAACTCTCCAAAATGGTAGATTCCGTATATGGTGATCACCAGGCCCAAGTACATTAATAATGGGATATAACGAATGCAATATGTATGTCAAACGTTAGGGTAATATATTAGGTCATAACCATTTCGCATAGTGCAATCTGAGAGAAACTATAGTTTAAGTTAATTAAATGTGAGTTTTTAATAACCTCCACGACTGTATTCACGGCCACACGTCAGGCACCAAACCATGTCAAATTTTCTCAATAGATTTTGAGCTCTACCTACCTACCTACCTACCTGCAGTAAGATCTAAAATTAAATGTTGAAATTTGACAATTTGCGTAGCATTTTTTAAACCCTCTGTATGGGGAGAAGGATCCGGGATCTAGCCCCACTTCGGAACTCCATGGTGGGAGCACCCGTCTTGCGGGAGACGTTTTGCATAGCCTGAGGTGGTGTTGACTATAAATATTAATATATGAAATGATATTTTATACAAATTCAAATATAGTAATTATAATGTGTTCATTATCATTTTCTTTGTTTCAGATAAAACTATTGCGATTGGCAAGGTCCTAAAAGTGATTGAGTAAAAAGTGGCACTACAACTGTAATTTAGCTAGGATAGGCCTTTCCAAAACCCTATATCAACAGAGAATGCATGTAATATGTAATCCTGATTTTGGGATCTGTATCACGTGAGAGCTCGAGTGTAATGCTTTTATTCCACTTGAAAAAATATTTCGCAATTTATTGAATAGAACGGCTAGTCCTTCGGGAACATTTCAATATTTTTATAGCCACTGCCATAAATGTAACAAACATGACTAAGAGCGGAATCGACGCTTTGATATTTTATATGAAATGAAAAAAGAAATCGTGAACGTTTTTATGAATTCTTTAGGCAACCTGAAATCTGACCAACTGGCATGTGCCTTGCAATGGTTGATCATTTATTTATTTATAGTTTATTTTATTGTAACACTTGATTTTACGATTGAGTATTAAAGCGTCGATTGGTTCAAAGCAGTCATCGCTTTTGAGAAATTGGCCACGGCAATGTTTGCAACTTATCAGTCCTATATTTTTTAAATAACATAAAAGTGAGCAATGTTGCCGAATGTGATCGATAAGGCTCTCATATAATTATTTATTGTTAGTGAGATCGTTCGCTTAGTGTCAGTATGTAGCGATTTTAATATATCGACGATATACGTATAAAGCAGTCATACATCGCTACTCACTGTGTTCTCTAAGTATACTCAATAATGATCATTCTAACAATCATTAGTGAATCAATGTTTTCACATATGATTATAATAACAGTAGTAAAACTGTTTCCTATTTTTAAAAACAAAATTATGTTTTAATTCTAAATAGTTTGCTTTATTAAAATAATAATAAACTTACAGTACACATATTTATAAAGTTATGATTTGTATTTCGGGTTGCCAACTGTCAAAAACATTTATGTAGTGCAGTGTTGGTTTTGGTAAAAAATAATTTTGAATATAAATGTTATAAAAATATAATCTGCAATATGTTTTTATTGATAATTTATAATATTTTATAATTTATTGCTTAGTAACATATTCTCGAGACGAATTTTTCGTGCTAACATTTTTAATTAAAGATGTTTTTGTACAAGCCACATATAAGCTTCAAACTAATGTCAAGTGTTTATGTAGGAACAATGAGAGTACTTATGGAAAGTTGTGCAGATTATGTAAAATATCACAAACGTTATTCTTGTAACTTCGGCTCAAACTCCGAATTGTTATAGTAATTGTATATTATGGATTTATAAATTTTCAGCTTTTTTAATATAATCAGATTTACGTCTAGGGGCGACTGTATATTATTATCAATATTTTGTGTATATCAGTGGACAAGATGTGAGGCGCGCGTAGCCCCCTGCTCGGTCCACCTCGTGCTATAGTTTAATTGTCGAGACGCTTGTAGTGGAGGGAAGTAGGGCTTGGACGGCTCCGCGTCGTAGTGCCTTCTGTTGCCGCCGGGGGACGGGCCGCGCCTCCACACCGAGCGAACACTGGCAGGCTGCAACTATATTATTTTGTTTAAAATAAAATAAAATTTTATTAATAATCATCGTCATTTTCTTTAATTACGCCTCCGTAACGTGAATGGATCTTGATATTGATATGGTTTAATGAATCGACGAATAATCAGAATAGTGCCAACCTTAAAATATTAATATGTTAGATTAATGAGTTTGAGAAGTTTCAATGACAGCTTCTATGCCTTTTCAGAAGTAGTCCCCAATATAGTAGGTCCCCAATAACTAGCCAAAGATTGATTAAGAGCTTATTTACGTCCTGAACTTTTAAGTTCAGGATGTCTAATTCCCATAATGTTCAATTGCTAAAAATGTCAAATCTAGTGTCATGACGGGTTTTTTAATCACTGGTGACTTAGTTATTTGACTAATTTGGGAAAAAACATTTTAAAACTCATATGATCATATTAACATTCAATAAACATGTGTACTGGTTGTACTCCCTAAAAAGTCGCTGACGTTTAGTTTATTGTAATGTGACGTCACACGATGCTCCGTTCGGGTCGTGGCTTTGTTTCTTTTCATCCACAGATTAAATAGGAAATTCATTTTGTAAAAATGAAATAAACTTACAATTTATTTTAAAACAAAAAACTTCCAGACATAATTTATTGTTTAAATGTTAAGTAGCCGCAGAATAAACTTCAAAGCCTGTTTTTACTCATCATGATGCTAGATTTGATATTTTGAAACCGATGGACATTTTAGAATTGAATTTTTGTAATTATTCGGTATTGAATAAACATTGATATTTTTATTTATGGCATACTTAAATAACTTCGTCAAATAATTTCTATCCATGCCACACCAATCTGATTGAGCAAATCTGAATTGCGCAAATCAGATCTTTTCCATTCTGAACATTGGGTAGAAACAGTTAGAAATGTTAACAGAATTGACAGACGTTACATGTTTAAGTTTGATGATTACATATATTTATTCAGACTGCTAGCTTTTCGAGTCTTTCGAGTTTGTCGTACTACGCGGGCAGAATAGATAGTTTGACCTTTCACACTATTCTGGGGAACAATCCCACTCAAAGCAGCACGAGTAGCATGACAAACCCAAGAAACGCTTTGTCTACACTCATTTGTCAGTTTCTCGGGTCAAGAGTGAGATATCGTATGAGCGCACCCGAGAAAAGTGACATTTGAGTGTAGACTAAACGCTCTCGAGTTCGTCATGCTACGCGTGCAGTACTTAAAATCGTGTTAATTTATAGGTAATACCAGTGGCGGACTAATCTCATCAGAGATCGGCAATAAGCACCCACTGAAAACTTTCCAACCGAGGTAGAAATTGATATTGCTTGGGGCGCACCTCCCCCCCCCCCCTTAGTCCGACACTGGGTAATACTAAATGAAAGTTATTCATAATGTATGTAATTCCGTATTTATTAATGATTAGATTAGACCATTTTCAGTTTGTGCAAACTATGCAACTACCAAGTGGTAAGTTACATGGGAACGTAAAATGCTAATTGATAGCCAAATAATAAAAATAAAGAAATACTGTATGTATGATATATATACATGTTTTGGCTAATTCCATCACTGGAATGTCACAATAATGTTTATTTTATTAAATCTATAACTACACACATTACAGTAGATATCTTGAGAAGTAGTTATTTATAAAATATAACTATGTACATTTAAATTATTTTGAATCTCATTAGTACCTACATCCACATTTTTTTCCATTACAGGTGTTCATCAGTACAGAAACAAATTCTTGCCTCGTTCAGTTTAATCTTCTGTGATATTGACAGATTTCCAAGGTACTAGTTCTGATTTACATTCTTGATAAATGCCAATCTTTGTGGTAAAGAATTAGTGACCTAATATAAAAATTCATTTCTAAATCAGTGTTTGACATATACTGGCTAACACCCAATTCAAGCGCTTTATTTTTATTTCATTATTTGATACAAGACTAAATTGTCATTATTATATTTAACAAGATTGTCAGTCTCAATACCTTTAAGTACCTAAATAGCTAAAATTTGGCAAAAACGAATTATTTAGTCTTGAATCTTGAGGTCATTTTTTGTAATATTCTGATTCATTTGATCATTTTCATACTCTACAAAATCATCAAATAAGCTAGGCCAGGCCTCAGTGTCATCATAAGTGCTGAGATCATCTCCCACAAACTCACAGAAATTGAGAAACATGTACCAAGTATCTTTAGGAATGCCTCTTATGTGAGTATTCTTTTCCAAATAACTCAACCATTTCTCCAAAACAGGTGGCTCATTATTGGTAAAGACTAGACGCCATAATAGCACTGCAATATCAGTAGGTAGTATCCTTTGACCAGTACTAACATCTAGACCAAATTTGAAAGTAAATCTGTACAAGTCCTTGAAGTTATCAGAATCTCTCCTAAGTTCACTAGTTATTTCATTCAATTTGTACTGTATGCCTTTGATTGAATCCGTTTTCATGTTTTTGAGGCCCTGTACAAATTCTAGTTGTGTAAATCTACACATTTGGCTAGCATTCAGTTTCCAAGCCAGAATCAAAACTTTGAAATCATCTGGGCTCAATTGTAAATCATTACAAAGATTCTCTATTCCTTCTGCAAGAATGGCATCTTCTAATGAATCTTTATACAGATCAAATAATTGATTGATTTTGAATTCCGAAACTCTTGGTTCACTTGACCCTAATGATGACATAGTACGTGGAATAGAAGGCAACTTCTGGTAAAATGATTTTGGCTGTTTGTCAGAAGCCTTTTGTATCCTTTGTGAATTTGTAACATCACCTGAGCAAGGTTCTCCAATAGAAATTATTGTATTTGCATTCTGAGGAATGGTATTACTCTTATATGTTACACTATTTTCATTATTATGTAAAAGTGGTTCCTCTTGAGGATAATCTGATACCATAACAGCAGGCACTTGGCTGGAAGTGACAATTTCTGTCATCTCTGAAAAGAAAAACAAGTCTTACTGGCCAGGTTTTTTTTAAATCATATCTATATATTAGACATTAATAATATGGAAATCTGAAACAATGAAAGTACCACAATACCTAAACCTAAGACTATATAAACATCCATTTTTATATTGACCCAATCAGAATGAAACCTCAGATAGACACTTTGAAAGCATAAGAGCAACTCTGCCACAGACGTCTTTATAAATATTTGAAAACTATTAAGCTTTTTTAATCCTCAAAAGTCATTTTATACATTGACCCAACCTGGAGTCAAAGCTGGGACCTCAGAGCTGGAGTCACTTTGAAACCACTCTGCTACAGAGATCATCATCATAGATAATTATATTATATCAGATTCCTTTTGGAAATAGTGTTTTGCATTACTACTTACTAATGGAAACACATAACATTGTTTAACTGAATAGTTTCTACAATGAGTAATTTATTCTTGTTACTAAAAAAAAAAAATAGCGTTATTTTTTAAATATTGTAAAACCTATATCAAAATTGTCATGATATTTTGTGAAATATTAACTAGTCTTTTAATAATATGCTTTCTTACCATCTTTTTTTCTTTGAGTTGAAGTAATTTCAACATTGGCTTGATCTTTGAAGCAACTTAGACAATGGCCCATTGGATAAAATATTTACAAAAATAGTCAAAAGCCCACAATTCTTGGCCAACCGTAATTTAGTTGACGATATTTCAGTCACTTCTGTACATGAAATGCTATAAAACATAATGATGAGAAAGAATTATGTCTAGGAGTATTCCTGACAACCCGCTTGCAAATCTGAAAAAAATACTTTCTATGTTTATTCCGTCGAACAAACAAATTATTATAACTAAAACAAGTTGGAGTTGGAATTTACACATACCCAAATATCATATCTTAAGTATCTTTCGTTTATGTTATCTAAAAAATTTAACACAATATTTGATAAAAATGCTTCTTTTATGTCGAAAACCGATTTCAGAAACTACAGAAACTGTTTTCATTGATTACATCTAAAAATAAAAAAATTATGGAATCTGACATTTTTGTCAATAAGAAAAAATAGATTTTGTTTTTTTTTTGGTTAAGGCAAAGATCTGGTGACCATGCAGCCTTGTCCTTAGGTATGAACTTTGCAACTTTGTTTATTTAGAGAGCATGTCCTATAATAGCTTTCAAGTATTTAAATATATGTTTATATATATCTCCAAATATATGTGTATTTACGTCTTTCCTTGGGCCTTGGTAGCTACTAATTGATACTAATAATCAGTTTTTTGTATAGTGCTTTTATCCCGGATGGTACTTAATAAATACCTACATATCATTAAACCTTTAATATTTTTAATCTGTGATACTTTTTAGACTGAAATTTAATTTCTTTGTTTTCTATGATTCAAAATAGCCCAAGGAAATTGTAAATTTTCAAGGAAATTAAAATATTTGTGGCGACTGATACATAGCGACATCTAACTCATCGCACTAACATCGCCACAACAATCGATAGCGAGAAGGCTAGCATCGTCACAGCCATCGATGGCAAGACGAACTGCAAAAAGTTTCAACAGCGAGTAACGAAATGGCGCTGTACCAATACAAACATAAAGTAATAACTACAAGACATTTAGAACAAAGAAACCTACATCGCACAGAATAAGTTTCATTACCAATTAACATAAATAGAATGTCCAACCTACATCGGTTGGACCGCGGTCCCCGGGCTAACAACACCTAGCTCGGAGGGAGACACTTATCCTTTAGTCTCTCTGGCCAGTTGTCTCCATCACCACAGTTGGAACCACACAGTAACCTTTAGGTTCCTAAAGTGGTGACTATCCAAATTTCGATTTAAATAATAAAGTTATTACTAATATACACATTTATGATAAACTCTTTACATTCGGAAAATGAAAATTTTCTATTTCGCGTACAGAACATCATAAAAGTGGCTATAAAAAACAGTAAAGAGAAGCAAAATTGGCAAGAAAAGAGAAGCGGAAAGAAAAGACTGGAAAAAATCAAGGTTACCCGAAATTATAACGTATTCAAACTGAAAAGCAGAGCCAAATATCATAAGAAAAGAGAACACAAAAACAGTCCTTTTAATGAGTAAAATGCCCCCCTTCAAACACATCGAGAATTTAAGTGAAATAGAAATCAATTTCAAAAATAGAATAAAAAAACTTAGACAAAGTTTAGTGTTATCTTTGCTTCAATCGAAACCTGGGCAGTGTTGCAGTCACTCTAACGGTGCTGTATTTACAACCGTTTCATCGAAGCTTTGAAGTGCTGATATGAACATGCCACTATGTCAATTCACTTCTAGGAACAAATTCAAAGCCTATCTGTTTGCAGCATGATATCAGGCATGGTGACGTCATATCGCCGAAGCTATTCACCGCTGCGCTGGAAGACGTCTTCAAGCTTCTGGACTGAAATGGACTCTGCATCGAGATCATCGGTGTGTCATCTTCTTCGATTTACCCGCAATTACGTAGACATGGCTGAATCCCCGGAAGAAGACTCCAAGACCTTAGGAGATTTTCTCAAGAACTAGGACTCAAAATGACCTTTGACGAGATGAAACTTATGTCTAACGTCCATGTTGTACTTGTTTCGTAATTCTTGGTAACTTGACACTAGAAGTTGTTGATCATTACGTATATTTAGAGTTATAGCGTTCGGAAAGCTCCAGTGTCTTCTTGTCCTAAATACCGCCAGTGATGACGGCGGCTAACTGCGGACCTTTTAATAAGCTCAAGATCACCCAGAAGGCGATGGAAAGGGTTATGTTCGGAGGAGGTTCGAAGACGAACCAAGGTAACTGACATAGCTGAGGCAGGCCTTCCACAAGAAAGACAGACGATCGGGTCCGAATTGCCGGGAAGCAATTTTAACGATTTTAACGTCGTGGGCCTATTTTGGGGGAGACCTTTGTCCAAAAGTGGAGCAGTAGACATTTTCCGGCTGACATGATAACGATGAACCTATTATGAATTTATAACTCGGCTTGAAATAAGAAATATATGATCTTAGTTTAATGCCAACAATTATGTTTGGTATTTTTTATATACCAGCAAATATGCCAAGGTTCTCGAGATTAGTATTTATTTGATTAGATTATATTACTAGTAGTATCGCATATGTGTCACTACTCCGGCACTATAGTTGAGATTTCTTTGCATTTGCTTTTTTTTTTTTTTTTTTATTACGAGGGTAGTTCTCATCTTCTTAGTCGATACCGTTCCCTGCCATCTTCATTCGCTTTATAGTGCCCGACTGCTCCGGTCGTATTCCCAATAATGTGTATAACAGATCGTTAAAATGCCGAAACGTACGAAAGTTAGAACATGTGAAGAAGAGTTAAAACATCCTCAAAAGAAAATGCGTAAATTAGAACAAAAATTATGTGATAAGGAAAGTTCAGTTAGTGACTTGTGCCCGAATTTATGGGTACGGAATGCAATCAGAAAAGTCATTGGGGCTTATTCAACGCATTCAGTAAATCAGTTAGCGTTCAATCCATTGGGGATCTACCTAACTTTGACAAGATAACTATCGTTATCTAAAACTGCTATTGTATATATCGTACCTATCAGACTATAACGTATTTACGTTAAAACAAAAAGTATGCACCTGAACTGCCGTTGGGGTTGATTCGTCGCATACTTTTATGGATGACTATGATCGTCATAGTCATAATATGAATGAAAATCTCAAACGATTTTCTTATCTTTCTGCCACCCCACCTATGGTGCCGAGTGATTGGTTATTAGAACAACCTCATTATGACGATGATCCACAATCCATTATTGGTATCAGTGACATTCAAAACTTATACTATACACTGAGGATGACTGTGTCGACGCGACGACCGTTAACGAACCACCTGTCGAGTCAGAGTTACGGCCCCAAGAAGGGGTCCATAACGAAAATGATCTGGACACCGATATCCTTTAAATTCTCGGCAAAGATCCTTCGCACTTAGAGAAGCTCGGTAATGATATCCGACATAACTCGCTTGTCGACTAACTCATATTACCATAGAGGGGCTTAATAAGGATATCCGTAAGGAGCTGATAGCGAAGTACCCAATTGCTGCTAATTGCTCTCTTATTAGTGCTCCAAAACTTAACCCTGAAATCAAGGCTGGCATACTTGAAAATACTCTTAAGAGGGACAAAGGCATAGAGGGTAAACAAACGCAAATGGCCAGTGCTATTGCTTATCTTGGAGAAATAATTATTGCTCATCTTAACTCTAAGGAAAAGGATAAAGAATAACTGCTTTAGATAATGGACCGCAGTCGTTTACTGTGCGATATTCAACATAGCGATTCAGTTACTAGAAGAAACTTTATAATGTTTTCATTAAAAAAGATCGATTCATTTTTATTCGGCGGAACATTGACTGAAACTCTTATGACAGTAAAATCAATAAACAAGTCTGGAATCGAATTAAAGGCTGACCCTTCTACAAAAAATATAAGTAAACGGCAAAAAATATCTAATCAGAATCAGTTAAACCGGAAAGCTCCCGGGGCGGCGTACAGGTAACCAGGCCCATCGCAGAGGAGTCGCGAGCCTGCATTCCCGCGCAGATTACCTCCCCAAGGCAGTGGCCGCGTCCGCAACCGCTACCGCCGCCACCACCGCCGCCCGCCACCGTCTCAAACACAGGGACGACGTCGCTACTGAATACATTCCCGAAGGATTCACGAATCGATTACCCTGGTGGCAGCAACCTTACCAGGAACGCGTTATCAAGAAGGAGCTTACCAACTTCCTCCTTGGATATAATGTTAGTATCATTATCCTTAATTCACTCAGTCAATATGACGTATACTTAAAAAAAAAAAAAAAATGGTGGACCTTTTGCAATAATAATTCCATTAACTTATTTACAGCTTCCCTACCGTTATTTACTTCCTTACTGTGTTGTTTAACGATGGTGGTCAATTCGGTACATTGAATTCATGCAGATCTGCCTTATCTTTTTTATTAGGATCACACATAGGTAAAGATGACAGAGTTCAGAGATTCTTAAGGGTGTGTTTCGTCTTCAACCACCCCTTCCAAAGTATAACTTTACAGGGGATACGAATTGCATTTTAGATCAGATAAGCCAATGGTTCCCAAATGAGGACCTAACGTTAGAGCAATTGACTAAAAAGACATTAACCTTACTGGCATTAACTACAGCACATAGAATGCAAACGTTGTCAAAAATCGAAATCAAAAACATACACATATCTCAGTCAGGTTGTTATTAAAATACCACAAATTATTAATACTTCAAAACCAGGTCGTGAGCAACCAATACTTTATCTACCATTTTTCAACAGTTGGCCAAATGTGTGTCCAGCAAAAACACTACTATGTTATATTAATGAGACAAACTCCCTTAAGAAAATCTGATGCTCTGTTTATAGGTACTAAAAAGCCGTCAGTGCGATTCGTAATACTGCGGGCTGGAGGGGCAACTCTACCATGTTCGCACGATTTTACAACAGGCCTATTCATAATCATGGTTGTACATCATTAGCCCAATCAATTATTGACCATTAAGTAAATAAATCAGTGTATCAAAATTTCGTAATTACTACCTATACTATAATTTAGAATGGAAATAAATGTCAAAAGGAATTGTTCAGTTTGTATGGGCACTTTGGCTTTGAGTGGACATTATCTACAGTTATAAAAAACATTATTTTTCAATATTTCATATTTTAAGGTTAGAAATAAGAAGCTGAGATGGTTAAATAAAAAAAATTGTAGATTTACACATATTTACCTTTAATTTGACAATACAATTCTACAAGCAAAAGACAGTACTTCTAAATACACTTATTTATAAGAATAGACTTTACATGATCACTTAATAAATAAGTTACACTGCTCATACAGTTTGTCTTCAGCTGGAGGCTGGCATTCGGGTGGTCAAAAAAGCAGCTACATTTATATAAGTTGGTCACATGATGTCCTTAT